AATTTAGACCCTAAAATAATTCAAATTCTCAAACAATTGACCCCAAATCTTAAAATCCAATGTGATAGAACAAATCAAACGTCCGGCTAAATCACAGAGGTCGTTGGCGGCGACGTTGTCTGCTCCTTCTCCGACGACATTCACCGGCAACTTTTCGGCGAGCGGCCAAGACGGCGGAGAGCTTCGGGACATTGAAGCGGTCGATGACCGCGACGTTGCTGCAAACGACATGAGCGGACGACGGACGGTCAGGCTGAAAGCAGTGGTCGGGCTAGAAGTGACGGGGTGGTGACAGATGTGCGCGACATGTCAGCCTGGTTTGGACGGCGACGGCGGCGGTGGCGGATGATGATGGTGGGTTAGGCATGAAGATGACGACATGTCGGCCTGGTTAGGACGGCGGACAGAAAGCCGGCGAGGAGGAGAGAGGCGGCGACGGCAAGCAGAATTCCGACGATGGCTTAAATGCGGCCACGGGCTAACGGGTAGCGACAGGAGGAAATACGGCGGTAGACAGAAGATGTGTGTGTGAGGGCGGTGGTGCATGTTTGTGTGTGCGGCAGTGCGTGTATGTGTGTGCGGCGGTGCCTGTGTGTGCACTGTGTAGTGTGTGTTTTTTTATTTTAATATGAGAGAGAGTAGTGGGTGTTAATAAATACGAGAGAGAGAGAGTGGTTAATATATTAATGGTGGGTCCCAACTAATTAATGTATATATAATGACTAATTTATCCCTATTGAGTAGTCAAATATGTGTATTTGACCATAATGTATGATAAATTACTATATTTCCATTAATGATTGACCAAATTTTGACTTTATCATAACCATTGATATACATGATCCAATGGTCCATAATCTTTCTTATTTCTTTGTTTTCGGCTGTGCACGCACAACTGACCCAAATTTAGTCGATAATTGTTAAATTTGTTTTTTAACACCTAAAAAATTGAAATTTAACATGTGTCAATTCTTATCCATTCATTTTCACGCACAACCGGCTCAAATTTATTCTATAATCAAGTTAAATTTTTGTTAAATGTGCTCTTCCAATTTTCCACATGTTCCTAGAAGGAATGAGACAAATGACATGTTCATAGAGTAATTGCAATTGTATATACCAACTACAATTCAAAGAAACAATCTCAATCAATTGTACGATTTGGTATCTAATATTATATGATTTAGTTTCCTTTTCGTCGAGTGATTCACTTCTATTGTTTGTATGTGATATTGGTTCGACTTGTTTTTCAACCCCTCCTTTGTCTCCAGCTTCTTCAGGGCTCGTCCTTGTGCGTCGCCTTACTCGTAGTGCCCCTGTTAATTGTTTGTCTTGTCTTCACTGTATTTCAGAAGAGAATACTCAACCAAAAAAAACCAGAAAAATGCAATAATTTAGGAAAGTGGCACTTGAAGGCAGTAATCCTATTTAAGCACGAAGATAACAAGCAAGTTTCAGTAAGGTGTTCGTCATTATCTTTTGTTTGCAACCAGATTTTGGAACAAATAATTCAACATGCAGTTTGATCACACCTTTGGTTGTATTTTTTTATATTTTCTCCCTGAATACTTGCACCCTAACAATAACAAAGATTTTATAGATAGATGTTTCAGCTCAAAGGTGGAGCAAAAAAAAAAATAAAAAAATCACTGTCATATTTTCTTTTATGTCATATCCTTCTCAAGGTTACCTAACTATTTTTTTTTATAATATACATATTGTTGTCATGTGCAATCTGTACCAAATTATTATCAAATTAGAAAAAAATCAGTATGAAGTATAATATATATATATACATATATATATATATATATATATCTTTCTCAACTTATGTTTTAAGGATTGTTCCAATTGGTTGTCGATTTCGTGAAGTTCTTCCATGGAACACTTCCCTATCAATGATGATAATGGCCTTCACCTCTTCTTGTCAATGGCAAAGAAGAAACTTTGGAGTTATTATGATTAGAAAACTATATCAATGACCAATTCTTTGCATATATGATGCATAAAATTTTTGTTTACAAACCCTTTTTCAAGCTTTAAACCTCAAAACTATCCCTTCTAACCGACCGTCAACCTGAATGTTTAAATTTGTAAAACTCTACTCAAACCTCAAAGACATCTATAAAAACAAAACCAAACCATCCTTTATGGAACTTTGCAGACGCAGAAAACAACACAAGTCATTATTTTTTTTTTTTGTTTTAGCCTTACGAGCTAGAATAATGCAAAGAATATTTAAAAGTTCTCGTCCAGTTTTTGGACAGGATGCTACAAGGCTACCATATACGGGAACTTCGCGTGCAAGCATAAGGTAAATTTGATGCTAAATCATTTTTCGCCAGATGATCTGACTCATTTTTGAGCAGTTAAACGGAATTAGTATCATTTAAGTAACACTTACAATTAATCCAGCACACAAAGATTTTGGCAAAGGTAACCTTGCAACGTTCCTTCAATAAATAACTTTGGGTTTCCTTCATAGGCATTTAATGAAACATAATTTTGGGGCTATTAAAATGCCATGATTTGGTTCATATGCAATTTCCGATCATGTTTTGTTGGGAGAGGAAACAAAGTATGTGGTAACACTAAATGCATTGTTAGTAAGTATACTTTTACGCGAAAACTTTAAAACACTAAGTTTTAAGCAAACTTAATTTCCAACTTGTTAAATATACAATTTTCAGCACCCAGCACAACAACTTGATACAAAGCCATAGAGATGGAATTACGACATCAAATTACACACAATAAGGCAAACAAACAAATACAAAATGGTAGAAAATTTCACCAAAATACGCACGAAGCATCAAGCAATACAACTAACGCATAATAAACATGTAAATCCTTGTGTTCTACCACATAATTTCCCCCAACAAATGACTGCAGCTAAAACTATCCCCGACCAGAGGCTACCACTACAAAATCAATAAAATTGGAATTCAAGCCAAAATACACCTGAGCGAGCCGCCTTCAAAAGGTTCCCGTTTTACCTGTTATCTGTGGCGGGACCACCGACGCTCTGAGCAAAGTCATTTTCATATATTTCTTGTTACAGAATCATATAAATCTAAAATATATAAATAATTTAATTTAATACACTTACACAACGTAGAAGTTTCAAAGCTTACCATAAGCTCGTGATAACAGGGCCTGTGACGGAACAAGTAAATGATGAATTGTGGTAAAGTAATGCAGACTACATTTCTTGATGATAAAATGAAAAACACAATAGATGAAAAAAAAACCTTTCAAACCACATGCCAAAACACGCAAAATAATACAGAAATTACGTCAAACGTTATTATGTTAAACCACAACTATTATACCTGCTCAACCCCAACTACCAACATTTTCACATATTGTCTTAAAATAACAATAAATTAATTTGTATTATATGCTTCAGTCTTACTCTATAATGTCATTGTCCCAAACATTAACCTTAAACAGCCTTAGTCTTGGTAAATAGAAGACTCGAAATATTTTTTGTAGAAGACAAAGAAGAGAGATGAATACCTTTATACTCAGGCGGTGAAGGCCGGCGCAGTTTCGGAGGTGCAATGAGAAGGGGTGCAGGTGGTCGTGAAGGGCTCCGTTGGATCCCGATTCTAGTCGAGGTGCTGATACACCTTTATCTTCCTGAAGATTTTCATGTTCTGCAATTTTGGGGTAACCATCTTTCAATTTGTACATTGGAGAAAGATTTTTATATTTTAAAAAATATTAATTTTTCTAAACAAACGTAAACATATACATACATAAGATGAATATGAAAATACCCACTGTGATGAAACCCAAACTCAATGCCATGTAATCTTATGGTGGAAAATGATGAATGGCTGAAATCCCACAACAGAGGCCGCCATAGCTGCCATCTTCCACACACTTGTAATAACGGTAGAAATCCAGCACGTCACACTACAATATCTAAAAACCCAATGTAGTGATTAACGCAATGAAGCAACCAAACTATTATTTACGATATTATAGTACTTGTTGGAACTCCACCAATAATTACTAAATGAATATAGACCCATTAGGCACATTTTTATTACATTTCATCTGTTTACCAACTAAAATTTAAAAGTACATGACGATTACTACATGCTAGGCATATAATAAAAATGTGGAATGTTTTGTGAGCTAAAGCTTACAAAATCAATAAAATAGAAGTTACTCAAGTACCACCTATAAATACTAAAGTGTAAGAAAGAAAATGAAAGGAAAAGGAAATTACAGAAATAACCAAGCCTTAGAAGCTATAAAAGATTATCTTTCCTTAGCAAGTTTTAAGAAATTCGAGATATGACCCCATCATGTGTTTTCAATGTCTCCCAAGTTCGGTTTATATCTTCAAAGTATTCACTGTGAAAATAACAGCTAGCGCATCATAAATATGTAACACCACCTTAATTTTAGAGGCACCAAAAACTTTATCAAATCGTAAAGCATAGGTATCCAAGAGAATTCATATACTACAATATTTCCATAGGTTAAGTGTTATAATTGCATTCATGCACGTAACAGAACCGCAGTTATGACAAAGCAAATGACACATTTATCACTTGATTTCAATAAGATAAACTAACCAAATCATCAAAAAAAGTATCAGACACTATTTGAATGCAGTTTAAAACAGTGAACAACTTCTTGCAAAGATTGCAAACTGAAATAGTGTCACATAGATTACCAGCTATCCTCTTCAATTGACAAGTCAGATACACTATTAAAATATATATACACAATTGTAGAACTAGAATGCAAAGTTGGAGCAGATTTTACTAAACAAACTAACAATGATGAATACAAGTCAACTTTCTGACATCAACCGACCCATCGCTTCTTCATGAGATGAAGAAGTTGCTAATGCAAATCGTCTTTTACCATCTAGTTGAGTCAATCTCTAGAATGAGTCAATCTCTAGAACTGATTAAAAATACAAGTTCAAAAGTAGATATTTTAGCATTAAATTAGATAAGCAATCAAATAATCTCAACCTCATAGGTGTTTATAGGTTCCTTGTCATCACTCAAGGAATCACGTGCCTCAGCAGTCTCAACAAAGATCGACATTATACCCTCTACATCCTGTAGGGGAAAAAAAAGTAAAGGGAAATTGATGAAACTATATGCACACATAGAATTTGTTGAATAAAATCTCAGTACAAATCAAAAGGTCTAGAAACTACTTAGGGTACACCCAACTAAAACACTTTGCTATAGTGCAACAACATGACCGCAAAGAGATTCAGGTAATCCCATATTTATATTTATTAGGAGAAGCGAGAACGTTCACCTTCGAAGCTGTGTATAGGTCATTCCTAGCATTACTGAGGAGTTTAATGTGATCATGACTCTCAATCAATGTTTGGCATTCTAGGCATAACCTGTCAGGAAGAAAACATTCCAGATCAAGCTAAAATATCAATAAACGAACACATGAGGTGCATCCTTTTAGGATAAATGGAAAGTATTTGTTGTCTCATCTTCATAATTTTCAATTTCCACAAAAATCTCTCTTAGTTCACTTAGTGAGGAAAAGGATATAAATATAACTCGAATTTGAAAATATGCTTGATGAAACATATATTTTATTGGAAGAATATTTAGTTACGTTCTTGGCGAGGAAGAATACCAAACGTAATTCATCACTGCTGTTTCAACTTCACCAGTGTAAGCGCTTGTTTATTTCAAAAATTCTCACGTTGTTGATGATGTTGGTGTCGCACCATGAAAGGCATCCTCCCGAACCTTTAAGCCGATAAATTGGTGATAGCATGTTTCTCTGCATAGTTGTTGAAAAATATACTTATTTTCTTACACTTTTAAAGCAACACGTAATTTGATATTGCAGCATCCACACTATCCATTGATTTCCACCTGTTTTTCTCATCATATATCATTCAGGACTTGAGTCATAAGATCAACAAACCCTTATTGTTGATAACGTAAGAAGGGTGAGTGAAAGTGTTATCTACTTTTTCTTTTATCGTTTTTCATTTACGTTGCATAACTTTTATAGCCTCTGGTTTACGTAATCATAGGGAGATCTAAACGAAAATGGAACTTTCAAAACTTAATCTTATGCATCAATGTCTTAAAAGCACCTTCTCAAAATCACTTTTGTTCAATGACAACACGTTTCCTTTACCCGATGATTTTCACTAATAGTAATGGATGAGTGTCTATAAATGTCGTGTTAATTTTTGGTATATCAGTGTATAACTTACAAGAATTTTGCCAATCCAAAATGTTGCAGGTAACAATACAGACCATGTATTGAGTGTGCTTAATTTTCAGGGGGTGATTTGTACCAAAATTAACTTCTAACTAAGAATTAAAAGTTAGTGATAGATGATCTATTAAAGCATGTAATTGATTCAAATTAAAAGAGTATTTAGTTGATATCTCTAAGTCAAGACCAACACCAGAAATTTGCATTTGTAGACACTAAAATTCACTTGTGCCTGTGCACGAAGGATGGTCTTCCCATTTCAGTTCAGTTAAACTTCCTATAACACACAATGAAGTTCCTATTATAGTTCCATTTATGATTCTCAAATGAATCAACAACTGTAATCTACATCTTATCTAGATAACTGTAAATATAACTTAAATAGAAAAATTCTGAAAATCAATCACAGAATAGTGATTTTTCATTTCTTAATAAGCTTCTTCTTCTCGAAAAAGGACTTCCAATGCCAAATTAAAGAAATTCTCCAAAAGATTCAAACTTACACAATCAGGCATGACACAGGTAACAAAATCCATCAAACAAACCTTACAATAATAATAAAAAAAAACATATCAAATGAAATCCAATTTTTACAATGTTTACCTCGTTTGTGCTCGTATTTGCGATTCACGTTGGACTCCTTTGCCACGGAGGAGGCGTACCATCTGCACCACTCCGAGCCGAATCACGCCCGGATTTAAAGAATTGTGGTCGGGCTGGATCGAATCAATTGTTCATGCTCACGCACTTCCTCATCGCATAGACCTTCACCCAACACCAAACAACATGATCTTGTGCGCGCCGGAGCCACTTCCGTACAACTCGCAGCGCAGGTCCACCAGTCGTACGGAGTTTCGATTATCCATCCATCAACCGCTGTCGATTGAAAGAAAAAGGTGCGAAAATTGGGGTAATTTTTTGGGAGAAAAAAGACGAAAGAATGAAAGAGAAAGCGAAGATGAAGATAATCGACGGGAGATTATTTCTTCTTTAATCTCTTTCGATCGGTTGCGTGTGCAAAAAAAGGGAAAAGTGGGCTTTCAATCAATCGCATGGGGAGAAATAAAAAACGAATATTCACCACCGCCTCAAATAAAGTTGCAGGCTTCATGTACCATTCTACCCCCAAAAGGCAAGTAAAGTGTGGTCATTAAGGTAATTCATCCCACAATAACGCAGAACGACGCCGTTTCGATTTAGTAAGTACAAAAAGAAGGAAAAAAGGCATGCAAAACTTAGAAAGCAGCAAGCTAAAAGAAAGATGGACAACAAAATAAAGGCCACGTGGCAGCCCAACAAAGGCAAAAAAAGCCACGTGGCATGCATAGAATGCTCTCTATTTTTGCTTATAACAATAAGAGAGATATATATATATATATAGAAGGGATCATATGAGAAAGGAAGATAGTGAAAGAAATAAGAATGGTCCTGGACCATTAGATCTAACATATCAATGGTTAAGATCAAGTTAAATATTAAATATGATATTTAAACAACAATGGCATTATTGTAAATAGGTATTAATTTCATGGTCAAACCTGTACATTTAAACATAGAATAAGGGTAGACTGGTAATTTCAAATTACACACATCACATATGGGACCCACTACCACCCCTACCAACCTTTAATTTCTCTCTCACATACTCACACACACAAGTGACGGATTATCCACCGGCGACACTCCATCTGCAGCCATCTCTCGCGCCGCTGCCGCCCTCCGCCGAGCGCCGCCGCCATTGGCCGCCCGACGTTGAGTGCGCAGCCATCTCTCCGCCCGTCGTCGGACTCTCGGAGTGAAGTTGCAGGCCGTCGTGGATCAGACAACCACCTCCGTCGGACACTTGCCTGAAGTTGCAGACAACCACCGACACATTCCATCGCCGACGGCGTCAAGTAGACGGCCGCCATCTCGCCGCCCGCCGTCGGACTCTTGGAGTGAAGTCGCAGCCCGTCGTGGAGCAGACAACCACCTCTGTAGGAAACTTGCCTGAAGTTGCAGACAACCACTGCCACATTCCACCGCCGACGTCGTCCAGTCGAAGGCCGCCACGGACTCCCACAGCCACCAGTCGACGACCGCCACGAACTTCCACAGTCCACCAGTCGACGGCCGCGACGGCTTGAAATCGTCGCCGGAATGAGAGGCAAGGACGGCGGCGGCGGCCGGTAGAGACGGTCGGAAGTCGGGCATGTGACTGGAGTCCTTTTTCAGATGTGTGTGGCTCACTTTTGCACATTAATGAACAAGGACTTGAGTTTATAAATTTAATAAAATTTAGGGCTTCATTACAATTTCAATAATTTTAATAAATTACAATTGAGTTCATGGGTGAATTTGTAATTAATCAAAATATAATTAATATTTTAAGATTTTATTTAATATGTAATAGTTTTTTTTTATAGTTTCTATTCCAATAAATATACATAATAAATAATAATAACAATAAATAATAGTATTTTTTTGTGAAGTTCGGTTCCATTATTTTGATTATCTAAATAAATAAATAAATAAAAATATAAAAATTAATATTTTTAATATAATTTGTTTATTTATTTTGGGTATTTGAATTAAAAAATGACATCATACCGAACTAACCGATATACAATAATAATAATAATAATAATAATAATAATAATAATAATAATAATAATAATAATAATAATAATAATAATAATAATAATAATAATAATAATAATAATAATCAAACAAAAAAAATATAAAAATCCATACTATTTTTTTTCTTTTCTGTTAGATCATGTTCGATTTTGTGCAATCCGTTATACATTTATGTGCAATCCATATAACCATAATGTGCAATTGCAATACATAAAAAAACATATAGAAAAATATTATTAATCAAATAAAAAATATAAATACATTAAAAAATTGGTAATACATATCATATAGTTCGACATATTTGGTTATTTTGTTTATTTAAAATAAATTAATTAAATCCGATTGATAAGCATAAATACTGTAATTTTGTTATGTAACAAAAAAAAAAATCCGTACTAATTTATATTTTTTCGTTGGATCGCGTTCGATTTTGTGCAATTCTCTATACATTTATGTGCAATCCATATAACTACAATGTGCAATTTCAATACATAAAAAAATATAGATATGATTAATTAAATAAAAAAATATAAATACATAAAAAAAATTGGTAATATTTATCATATAGTTCGGCATATTCAATTATTTTGTTTATTTAAAATAAATTAATTAAATTCGATCAATAAGCATAATTACAGTAATTTTGGTAGGTATAGCTTATTGTGTTACAAGGTGTAACATGTTGTGTTATAAGATACAATGTAATAATGTATAAAGTGCAACATATTGATACATAAAGTGCAATACTGAATGTTTTGTACCTTTTTTTTTGTATATAGATGATGTGATGTATATTAAAGTATTATGTAGAACCGTTTTATAGATTTATAATGCGTACATTTTGGTGGGAGATGTTGACATTATAAAGTGCAACGTATTTTTTATAAGGTGCAACGTGTTGTTTTATAAAATGCAACATTCCGTTATATAAAGTGCGCTAATTTGTATCTTATAAATAAGTATTTGCAAACTAGTTTTAATATATATAATTGTACATAAACTAAGCTGTATAATTAAAATATTTTTTATATTTTATTTTTTATCATTTAAATTATTTATTATTATAAATTATCTTTATATTATTTTAATATTTTATATTACTTTTATTTAATATTTATTTCATTATTTATCATATGCATAACAATTTATATAAGAAATAATTTTTATTAATTGAAAAAACTAAATAATTTAACTACTTTATTATTTATGTTAAATATATTTAGTGTTTTTATATTTTTATTTAATACTTTATACTACTTTTATAATATATTTTAGTTGAAAATATTATAAGCGGGATATTTAGTTAAATGAAATTAACCTAAGTAATTTCATTAATTTATTATTTATATTATAAAATACATCTAGTATTTTAATAATATTATTTAATATTTTTTATATTTATTTTTGTTGAAAATGAACAATATATATATTCGTATAACAAAAATGTACAAAAATCATATTGTTTACATATGTTTTCATAAATTTCACATTAGACCCAATGACTAAATTGTAATTTAATAAAAATATTGAATTGCAATTGAATCCTTTGAAATTGTCAAATTCTCAAAAAAGAAAAGACCCAACATTCCAAGTTATTTGTTCATCCCGTCTCTGGAAATTGGGCAGCGGCCATCTTGCTCGGCGGCATGACGAGGTGGCAGCGAGCGGCAGATAGACGGCGG